CCCTCTCCCTATCTCCCTCTCCCTCTCCCTATCTCCCTCTCCCTATCTCCCTCTCCCTCTCCCTCTCTCTCTCTCCCCGAATGATATTGTCATGATGATACCTGTGGAAGTCTGTGGAAGTGCTCATTGATTTTTTCCTAAGGATGAGCCATGGAATTGTCTCAGATAATTATTATTCAATAAGACCATTATACAGAAATAAGGCGTAAATTATACATTTGCAATAGTCAACAGGTTTTCTTTCAAGGGGTCGGAACACTTTCACAGGGGATACTAATATAGTTTCGTCTTCTGTGTTTACTTACAGAATTGACTTAATTTACCATCGTACTAGACAGTGGTAGAGTCATTCTAACATACGTAGAGGCAGAAACCATGGCTTTAGAAGTAAGTATTCTATATATTTAATAAGTAACTGACTATATATTTTTTTGTTCAGTTATATTGTTGAGACAGAAACATATATCAGTTTAATTGAATGAAAATATGTGATTCTTATTAAAGGAATATATTAATTATTTGGTATCCTACAATTGCATAATAATGGTACAAACACACAAACAGAGATAATATTTATCGGTGAAATATCTGATGATATGAATTAGATATGAATTCAAGGATCTAATTCTGTGGAAAAAGAATGTAAGAATGCCATGCCATTCACCAATACATAACGACTTATATGCTTAAATTATACATACATTCATGCATACACATATTTTTTTTTCATTATCATTATTATCATTATTGTTATTCTTATCACTAATAAGATCATTATTATTAATATTATGATCATTATTATCATTGTCATTATTACCAGTATTACTATTTTAATTTATCGCTATTATCATTATCATCGTTATCATTATTATTTCTATTAGTATAATTGTTATCATTATTAATATTGCTAATACTTATCATTGTTATAATCATTAGTATCATTATTAATGTTATAATTGTTATTATTATTACTGTCATTATTATTATTATTATTATTATTATTATTATTATTATTATTATTATTATTATTATTATTATTATTATCATCATCATCATTATTATCATCATTATCATTATCATCATTATTATCATTATCATTATCATTATTACTAGCAATGTCATTATTATTATTACTATTATTTTCTTTATTGTTATTGTCATTATTATTATTACTATCATTATTATCATCATAATTATTATCTCAGTTATCATTATTATTATAATTATGATGTTCTCTCTCTCTCTCTCTCTCTCTCTCTCTCTCTCTCTCTCTCTCTCTCTCTCTCTCTCTCTCTCTCTCTCTCTCTCTCTCTCTCTTATCTTATAACAAATTGTATGTGGAAGTGCTCACAGTTTTATCCTCAGTATGAATCATGGCATTGTCTCTGATAATTATTATTTCACGATTTCTGTGATTGATAATAAAGAACATTAGAAAATGCACTGACATTTCTTTTTCATAAGGACGTAGAAATATCATATTTACCAGAAAAGGAAATGAAAAAACATTTATACTTCCACATATCGTGAATGACGAAGCAAAAGATAAGATAATTTCTCTTATCTGGCTCGCCCGCTGCGACCTGCCTATTATGCCGTGCCATATGCGCTCTGTGCAGTCTTGAGAAGGATCGAAGACCTGCAGCAACTAATCAAACAGCTGGCTGGATCGCGTGACACAGATTCGCAGATTTCCTCGTCTGGTTGCTCACAATGGCTGACATTGTACATAAGGTACGAGTATTTTAACCTCGCTTCTAAGAGCAGCTACAAAATATTTGTATTATTTATATCAGTTATCTCGCAGAACCACCATTATATATTTTTTTTTTCTTCTTTTTTCAGTTCAACCAAATTTCCCTGAGAGGAAATTCGTCGCAAAACGTAAGTGTATGTGTGTGTGTCTGTGTATCGACTATGGTATTATGGTCCCCCCCCCCCCAATCCCTTGCCCGTTGTTGCCGTGGGGGGGCTTAGGAGGCAGAGACTGAGACCCAATGATGAGGAACTCCCCAACCTTGGGACTCAGCCCTCGACTCAACTAATTTTGCATGGTCTTTTTTCCCTCCCTACTTTTCGTTTCTGCCCCTTCACCAATCCCTTCTGCTATCCACCTCCTAAGGTGGGAGAGCCGTGCTGAAAGATGAAAGGCTGACTTTGTGCCAGTCCTGAACGGCCTGAGGGAGCCATGGGCACGGTAGTCCCCTGGGGGACCTTGAGGGGTGGACATACTCCAGGCTTACCATGGCCAATAATGAAAACGTAATTCCACTATTAGGGGCAATGAGGCTTGCCCCTTCATCAAATAGCCCCAACAATTCAAATCCTCCCGATTTCCTGACCCCAGGCTCTCCTTTGACCACGGCTCCGAACACTGTAACAGCTACCCCCTACTTAATGCCTACTAGAGACATTTTTACTCTCCTATCATGCTCAACACCTCTACCTCCACAACCTTCCACATGAACTACCCCATCCTCCCTTATTAATACCTTACAGC